CAGGGGGGATGGCCATGCTGCAATCCATTCTCCTCCATTCTCCTCTCAGGATCTTGGGCGCACACGCACATGTGCCCGGCGTGAGTTTTAAGCCACCGGGTCCGGGACGTGAACCGCAGTCAACTATGTGGGAGTCCAGCGACACAGCCATTATGCTAACTGCTGGTCCCCGGGCTTGCAACTCTTAAGGTAGGATTGGTGTCCCTGTCCCACCATGGCTAGTGCTGTGATAATTCTGGGCTGCCAGGCAAGGCTGGAAGCAGACACGTCCGTATAGGGTGTTACCACAGCTACGGCAAAGCCTGCCGCACAGGGCTCTGAATAGAGGGTACACTCGCAGCTAAGAGGAACTGTAGCCCTGTCCTCCCAGTGCTTAAAGGCCTCTGTCTTTTCGTCCACTCTCATGAGAACAGACTGTAAGGCTGGGTGATGTGGCAGAGCCTGACAGGAAGCCTCACCCTGAGGGCCCTGGGAGCCTGGGAGTTGGTGAGCCGATCAGATGCAAGGCCCACAGTGACCACCCGAGCCTCTGGAAGGACAGTGAGGTGCATTTTCACTTGAGAAATGCCTGGGCTGAGTCAGAAGCCCCCGAGACAGCTAGGCTGGGGCTGAGTGGCAGAGCCTCCCCATGACAACAGACTCACTGGGTGTCCCTGCCAGTGAGGTTGTGCGGGGACGAGACAAGTCACAGCACTGACAGGAGCCAGCTCCCGTATCAGTGTGTGGCTGACAGCGTGGAGGCCAGGCTGCCAAGGCCCGGCACCAGGACGCCAGCGGAGCTAGGGCAGCTCCCGGCACTGAGCCACGCCGACCAAAGGCTGGGGGCGCTGGTCTAAGCTTACAGATAATTACTGGTTTCAGCAAAGCGGTTTTTATGAGAAAATGTATACCTAAGTGACTGAGTGGAAAGTGCTGGTTGATTTTTATACCCTGGCTCTTCCAAATTAATAACAACTGTACGAGGAGCATGCAGGGGAGTGTGGACGTGGCGGTGTGGCTTCCAGGCCTGCTGGGCCACAGCTCTGGTCTGTCAGCCAGGCTGGGGGCTGGGCCGGCTCCGAGCAGCAGGGAGCAGTGCTCTGGGCCCGTGCTTGTGAGCAAAAGGAGGGTCGAGGCTTTCATTGGAGGTTCCAGTGCACTGCATTTGGTGTAGACAGCCCAAAGCAGAACTGCTGCCGCAAGGACAGGCACCTGGCATGCTCCGGGGACTGGGAGAGTCTCCTGCATGTTCAGGGAGCTGCCTCCCTTCGTCTGGTGACCTCCCTCGCCCAGCACAGCTGCGAGCAGAGTGGAAGCCATGCAAGTTGTCACTGCTCCTTGGACACACAAAGGGAAAGGTGGTCAAGGAGGGGCTCGCCGGGAGGTCTGAAGACAGAAAAAACAGGAAAATGATGTGACTATAGACAAAGTGGGCTGGGATCTGGCATCAGATCAGCACAGCCCGATGGGGCTTGAAGGTGGCTGGAGCACGTTCTCAACGCTGATGTGTGAGGGTCAGATCGCCATGAGGGCAAGATGGGGGCACTGTAGTTCAGAATTCGTTACATGAAAAACAGTTACACACAATCAAGGTTAATTAGAGAATTACAAACCTGATCTACAAAGCACCTGAGAGATGCAGAACGCCACCAAGAGTTCTCGAAGGAACGTGAACAGGAAGCCTGTGCTCCCACGATATCCTCAGGAAGGCTGGGACGCAGCGCCTCCTGTGTACCAGCCATGGGGAGCTGGTGCCTCCCCGGCCCATCCTGCCCCAGGAAAGCTCTCCTTAGCTCTGCTGAGGAATGCTGAGCCTCTGCGTGCTCGGTGGCTCACCACACGCGGGAAGCCGGCCTTCAGAAATGCACCCAGTGCTTACGATGGAACAGGGTGGGCTGTGAATGGCAATTTTGCAGTCCTGTTCCCATTTTACACCTAAGGCCAGCTACACTGTTGCAGTGGCTTTTGGATAGATGTCCAAAGGGAACAGAATTTTCAAGTTTTACAGAAAACTGATCTTGCGGTATGTCCCAGTCACGCCTGCACAATGCCGGAGAGGAATGACCCCATCACCTGCTGGTACGGTTGGATATAGTTTGTCCCGAGTTTTCATGTCTTGGAACTTGGATGGCTCCCTAAAATCCGTGTGTTGAGACGTGACTGTATTGTTAAGTTAAAATGTAGTTCCTTCCTGGCGTCCTGGGGTGGGCCCTTTGGGTGTGATAAGGGCAGTTTCCATGATTAAATGCTGACATGTACATGGAGAAGAGAAGAAGCCACAAGGTTATAGACCACGCTCTGCTCTGTTGGAAGTTCTGCTTTCTGCCATTTTGCGATGCCTTTGGACTTCCATCCAATAGGCTGAGAGTCAGAACAAACGCCTGTTTCTTTAATTCAGCCAGGCTCCGGTATTCCTGTTAGCAACCCAGTAACAAACTAAGACTTCGGCCCCTCTGCTATGTCTCCCACTAAACAAATGGGAAACTTTGAGTCAAGTTTAAGTCTACTCTGGGGTGTCCACAGATATGTTACTTCATCTTGATTTTTGACATTTTCCCAAAAATGTCTGGCTACCTGGCTGGATTCAATGACTTTTTTTTAAAAAAAGAATTATTTTTGATAGCTTTACTTATTTACTTATTTTAATTTGACCAGAAAGGGACAGAGTGAGAGTGAAAGCAAGAGAGAGAAAAAGTGAGAAAGCAAACTGCCAGGTCTGAGACTTGAACTGCAGTTGGCCATGTGGGAGTCTAGCACCCTTAACCACCATGCCACCTGCTGGCCCTAAGTGAGAAAGCAAGCCACTAGGTCCAGGACTTGAATCATGGTCGGCCATGTGGGAGTCCAGTGCCCTTAACCACCATGTCATCTGCTGGCCACACAATGCCTTTTTAATAATTGAGATTGTACAACTAAATGCACTCCCCTACGTGTGTAATTCATTTAGTTCTAGTATATTCACAAGGTGCTATGACCATTATCACTTTCTAATTCCAGAACATTTTCATCATGCCCTAAAGAAACCCTAGACTATTAAGCTCTTGCTTCCTAAATGCATCCAACAAACCCCCCTTGCCCTGCGCCCAGCCCAGCCACAACCAGCCACTAATCTACTTTGTTTTAACAGATTTCCCTCTTTGAGACATGCCACTTAAATAGAATCACACACGGGTCCTTTGGGACTGGCTTCTTTCACTTAGCATATTTCCACGTCGCAGCATACACTTTCATTTCTTTTGGTTATATTCCTAGGAGTGTATTGCCTTTACATCTATGTTCAATTCTAAGAGTTTTATGTTTTTTAGCTCTTAAAAATAAATATTTGCAGAATGGAGGAGAAGGGATTGTGGCGTGACCATCCCCTCTAGGGGGTGATTTCTTGCTTTCTGTCTCTATGTCTGTCTCTGTCTGTCTGGCGAGCGCACGTGCCCTATAGCGAAAACCTCTCCAATAAATAAATAAATAAATAAATAAATAAATATTTGATCCATTTTGAGTTAAATTTTGTATGTGTCATAAAGTAGGAGTCCTACTGTACTCTTCTGCCTGTGACTATCCAATTGTCCCAGTACCAATTGTTGAAAAGACTATACCTTCCCCATTTAATAGCCTCAACTCCATTAATGTTTTAGTAACATTTTGTGTTTTGAAACATCTAAATGTACATCAAGGGGCCAGAGGTGGTGTGGTGGTTAAGGTGCTGGTCCAGAGGCTGGAGAGGATCTATGAGGTTATACTTAGAATGAAATGCTGGCAATACTCATTCCAGATTCCTCAGTAGCTGGTGCTGGGGCTATGTCTACCTTACACCATGTACAAAAATTGAAATCTGTAATATAAGAACTAAAATTATAAAACTTCTGAAAGAAAACAGGAGGAAATCTCTGTATACCTGGACTAGTCAAAGATTTCTCAGATACAAACCAAAAAGCAATGACCATAAGAGAAAAACACAACAAAGACAAGGGTTTTCATAAATAAAAACTACTGCACTTAGCCACTATAAAGGAAAAAAAAGTCCAGTCTCATGTTGAGTGAAAATATTGGTAAAAAACCTATATCCAGAATATGTAAAGGACACTAACAAGTCAGTAATAAGACAATCTAATTTTAAATAATGAGCAAGGACTTAAAGACTCTTAACT